TAAACTTTTTTATTATATTTTTTTAATGTCGGGTTTTAATTTCCTATGTAAAAGTGAGGGTGATTTTCTATGGCTGTAACTTTAACTGCCTTTCAGAAAGTCCAAATTCAGAAAGCTCACAAGTTGCTGAATTATATTGAATAAACTTAATCCAGGTAGTACTGAACTGAGCCCAAACATTCAGATGAAATATTAGGATTCCTTGTCCAGCACCTGGATGTTTAGATATTTCAGTGGTCAACTGCCTTGTATGTACAAATAGAGACCAGATACTTGTCATTAAGTAGGCCAAATACCAGGTGATTAACAGAATTGTTAAACATATTTTAAATGTGCTCATGGTACATGGATATGCTCACTCACAGATTTTGAAAGTAAATTTAGCATCTGCATTCTAACAGCTATTCTAACAAGAAAACTATTTATTAAAAAATTTCTCAATTAGACTGAATAGGAAAAAGGGAACTTATAAATTTTAAATAATCTAATTTGCCACTTTTTTGTAATCACAGCAAGCAAAGAACATATTAACAATCGGTGTTTAATTACGAGTATTTAAAAAAAAACCTTGAAGCTATAAGTAAACACAAGAATTTAGAAAATCTTAGGTTTGAGATGGTAGAAAATCATTTATACACCTGGTAAATTCTGTGCTTCTAACTTAGCTATTTAACATTTGTTGAATCCAATATTACTTTTCATTCTAACACTATAACTCCCCTTATAAGAAAAATTTCCACTCCATCCATTATTTAACCACTCTTTCTTTTATGTCTAGGCACAGTACATCTTTTTACACCAGTGCATTCTGGATCTCTTATCAAGTAAAGGAAGCAATCAGCCCATCTGTTTTGTTAACTATGCAGCACTTCAGAAGATGGACTCCTTGGATGCCATGGAAGGTAAACAGAGGCAATGTGTTCTCAACTTACTGGTTTGCCACCTATAGTAGGAGTATTTAATTTAATAATAACCATATGTTGAAGATGTTTTCAAAGCTAGGTTAGTGCACTTATCAATTTTTTTCATTTCTAATCCAAGTTATGATAATAAGAGCCATTTCCATCCACACATTTAAATCTTTTGAATAGTTAACTTCAATTCTCTCTTGTGACATGTTACTTTATGTTATAGGTGATGTTGAGCTTGAATGGGAAGAAACCACCATGTAAATATTCAGACCAAAGATTACGACTGGAAGACATTATCAAATCCCAGGGGCCAAAATTACCCCCTCATTCTTCTGAACTGAATGTACAAATTTAAAGAAATCTCTATGCTTCCCTTACTATACCTTACTAAATGTATTGACATTTTATGAATAGTTCCAATAAGTAGTTAATTCAGGATAGTTATTTGTTTTGTACACAATAAATATGCATTTAAAATATGTAAGAAAAGATATCCCACAGATTTTTGAGGTCTTCCATATTTGGGGAATGAGCCAAATATAAAACTATTATTATATTAGCATTAATGTTTCAATGTGAATTTTCCCTATGTACTGGATTCAATCTTGAACAAAAGTGGTAAATGTTGATTCAGTAGTGTTATTTTGGCCTCCAGGGTGTTGATGTTTCTTGTGGATAACTTCCAGGACTGTCATGATCTGTACTTCTATGCACGCCCCTGTGTTTTGAATCCTCTGTTTTATGAGTGCTGAGATATCATCTCATGATCTCGAACAGCTGAACAGTAACCCCTGACACTGCAGGCATTACTTAGCCTTTATACAACACACAGTAGCTCTTCAGGGACACTTAGGGCTATTTAAATTGCATTGTGATCTTTAGTTTGAAAAAACAAAAAGAAACATTAAACAGTGCAATTGCTCATATGAAGCTATTGAGTACTTTTCTAGCCTGTCTACATTTGTATATTTTCAGGCACAAGCTGTACCACTATATTGTATAGTTAAATACACAGTTAGATGTATCGCAGTATTTGTCAGATAGAAATATATCCAACCTAATATTAACAATTTTGAAGGGTTTATTCAGCAGAAATGTATAAAAAACAATAATTAAAACGTGTAATGTGTTGCAAGCTTGTAAACTAATGATATGCTGCTGTGGTGCCAACAGAGACTTTTTGAATAGATTACAAAAAATGGTCTTTATTTTATTTCCCAACGTTGATTATTGAAGAGTGTATTTGGTGGTACTGAAAACAAAGAAATTAACCAAGTTACAGCAAATTAGAGATTTTTTAAAGAAAATATTTCCACCTCCATTTTTGTTAGTGACAACATACTAAGTTTTGAACTATGTGGTATTATTTTGTCACTGATTTCAATTACGAGTCATAATATAAAATACTATTAATTATTCTATTTCTTCTATGATAAAAATTGTATCTTATTCATATTTCTCTCAGAATATAAATATAGAAAATGTGACGGCCAATAAAATTGAATTTTAAGTAATCGAGTTACTTTGCAACATGATTTCAGAGGGACTTAATATAAATTTGATTTTGTATCACTTATTAAAATATAATTGATAGTTATAATATAATGAAGTATATTATATGTAAATACAATATAATAATATAGTATAAGTAATTAAGATATAATCATTTCCCATGGTATCCATAGATAGTAAGTAATTTTTAAATCAAATTCATTATTCAAGAAATTAAATCTTTTAGTCTTGTAAGCAGTCCTGCTTCTTTTTCAGGCCAAGGAAGTATAAATAATTATAATCCACCACTGTTCCAACCACCATGTTCACTCTATAGAAAGTTACAGAAAACAATAAGATATCATGATTACTCCAAAAGATTCAAGCTAGAGTTAGTTCTTCAGTTTGCTTCAAGTGTTGGTCATTGAAAATGTGCAGCAAGCCAGTACTTATGAATGTGAGTTTCTATATTCGTGGAAGATAGATAACAACCTGTATTGGTGAGGTTACTTTTTAATGTATTAAATAATAAGAAAATAAATAGTTCAATCTATAGGCCAGATCAGTTTTTATAATATCTGTATAAAATAGATATGTACAACATAGAATATAAGGTGTAACTCATATGTATATGCATATATCTGTGTACAATGGAGTTTTAATATAAGGTCTCTTCTAAAACAGTGCTTATCAGACTTTAATGTGTATACAAATCACCTAAGGATTATATTAAAATGCAGATTCTGCTTCAACAGGTCTAGGGTAGAACCTGATATTCTTCATGTCTAGTAAGCATTCAATTTATAATATTGTTGCTTGATCTCACTGAATAGCAAAAACTCTAAAAGACATTAGGATCAGAATAATTTCATGTCCCCCTGAAGTTGTTTTAAACATGTTTTAAAAGATTTGGCTTCATTGTCAGAAAAAAATTATAACAGAACACCTGTTAAATGCATATAACTCAGTACCTATATCATGAAACTATAAATGAAATTGAATTGAAACTCATATATTAACCATAGTTAAATTTTCTCTTAATTATGTTGTGAAAGGGCTAGTTCATAGCTAAGTTATAAGGTGGCTACTAAGTGCAAATTAAAATAATGAGGAACATCTGTAACATTTTTAGATCAGATTTGTCAAAATACATTGAAGCGCATGTACAATAAATGAGCAACATGTGTTTCATCTGAACCAAATGAAACTGGAGCCTCTCAGAATGGTTTGCCAGAGAGGAGAGCAGCTGTGGGTATCACCTCTACTTTTATCCTACTTTAAAATGCATAATTTTCCTCTTTCAGTTTGTAGGTGAAATGTATAATAAGTCTTTTGAAAAAAGCTAATTAAACATTGCTCTCTTCGTAAAGGAGCTGGTGATTCACCCTCCACATCTGGTACCAAACACTAGATTTTTAGAATGGAATTAAATTTAGCAAAGTATTCTGTAAGTCCATGACATTACTATGATAAGTTTATTTTTGGGGGCCAGCTTTTAGAAAATTCAGTGATGTTTTTAATAAAGCCCAAATACAAATTGATCTGGAATTCTCAACCAAATAATATTAAAAGTAAAAATATTTTTTTAAAAGTTTATAAAGTATAATCTTGGCAAAATAGCTTGCCTTTTTAGGATAAGTAATATTTTGTGGTAAATGACTTCATAAATCAGAATTTCAATGTAGAATCAGGATTCCTATGCCTACCAGCTCACAATGTTCTGGGGAATAAATTAGATCACACATATGAAAGTGTTTCAAAAAGTACAAAGAATTCTACAAGGTTAAGATAATCTTTCACCCAGGCTGGTCAATGTGTAATATTTATCAGTAAGATAATGTATCCCATTTTAGGATTGTAATATACTTTGTGATATTTAGTGCTATATTTGTATGTCTGTTTCACGTGTATGGATTGAAGATAAAATTGTGGCAGTTATATTGATTGCTGCTAAATAAGACTATTGCCACTTTTTTAATGAATTATTAAGAGCATTCTCGAGAAATTTTTGGACTAAAATAAGTAGACTGACATGCACATGAATAACGTAAAATGTGATTTGGAAAACAAGACAAGAATATTTTCAGGCTTTTCAACAGAAACATTCTAAATCAGTGTCTACAATATTGTCACTTGAAAATAAAACCATAACTTAGTAGAAGGTAACAAAAGACATTATTCTTTCCTACAAACAAGATTGTTTCTAGAGTTACAAACTTAAATTACTGTAGTTTTCGCTCAAAGTATTCTTGGATTGGAAAGTCATTTTAGTAAATTATAAACTTTTTAGAATACTTTTACATTCATCATTTTGATTAATCCTTATGAAATTCTTAAAAATCTGTAGGGTCCCATATTACAGATAAATATAATGAAAGGTTAATTGCCATGTCAAACAGCCCATTTATAAGGTGAGAGCTGCATATCATAATCAAGTTACTGAAAGTCAATGAGAAAGATAAAAATTTTAAACCAACAAAGAAAATGGAGAACTGTTCAGGGGTTCAAAGATAAGAAAATATTTTGACTTTCATTCAGAAACAATGCAAGCCAAAAGAAAATGGAATGAAATATTCAAAGTGCTGCAAGTATCTTCTAAACCTAATAAATGGCAACTACAAAAAAGCTAGTGCTAATATCAACTTAATGGTGAAATATTAAAGGCATTCACCGTAAGATGAAGAAAAAGGTAAAAATGCCCACTTTCACAACTTCTATTCAACATTTTGCTGGTGTTCCTAGCCATTACAATAAGGAAAAATAAAGAACTAAAAGGAATAAAATTTCTCAAAGAAGAAACAAAACTGTCTATATAAGTAAAGGGTATAATCATGTATGAAAAAAGAACTGAGGAATGTACCAAAGAAAAATCTGCTAAGTGTAATAAGTAGCTTTTAAAAGTTTACAGACTATAAGACGAAGAAACAAAAATTAATTTTGCTTCCACATACTCTCGGTGAATATCTGGAAATTGTAATTTAAAATAATCGTACACTTGAAACCTATATAATTTTATTAACCAATGTCACCCCAACAAATTTAATAAAATAAATAAATATCATTAACAGCATCCATAAACATAAAATCCTTAAGAATAAATTTAACAAAATATGTGCAAGATCTATATACTAAAACTGATATTGATGAGAAGAATTAAAGAAGATTCAAATAAATTTTTTAAAATGCATGCCCATGAACTCAAAAACAGTATTGTTAAGATGTTGATTCTCTTCATATTGACTATAGATTCAACAGGATATCAATCATAATCCCATAAGGCCTGTTTTTTTTTTTCTACAAATCACTGAGCTGATTTTATAATTTCAATAGAAATGATACAAAAGACCTATAATAGCCAAAACGATTTATAAATAGAAGTATTTATAAATACTTAGTATTTCTCATTAAAAGAAAAAATAGAAAGTCAAAATTAAGTCCACACATAGCTGGTCAATTGGTTTTCAACAAAGATGATAAGATTATTCAATGGGGAAAAGTAGTATTTCCAATAAATGGTGTTGGAACAACTGGTAGTTCATTTGGAAAAACATGAACTTTCATCTCTATCTCATACAACAAATACAAAAATTAACTTGAAATGGAACACAGATTTAAATGTGAAAGCTAAAACGATAAAGCTTATAGAAAAAACTAAAACAATCCTCATGATCTTGAGATAGGCAAAGATTTCATAGAGTACAAAAAATGATATATAAAATATCTATAAATTGTACTTCCTTAAATTATAAACTTCTGCTCTTCAAAAGACACTATTAAAGAAATGAAAAGTCAAGCCACAGGCTGGAAGCATGGGAGAAAATATTTCCTCCATTTCTAAGTTGAAATACAACTTGGAAATAAAACAGAAATGAACTATTGATACACATGAGAACAGAGAAAATCCTCAAAAACATTATGCTGAATGAAAGAGGACAGACACAAAGAAGAACTTATTGTAAAAATCCATTTATATGAAGGCCTGAAACAGGTTAAACTAATCTATGATGATAGAAATCAAATCAGTGATTACCTTGGGTGAAGTATATGTGGGGATTGACTGCAATGGGCAAAAGGGAACTGTTGGGGATAATGACAGTGTTTGATATCTTCAATAGAGTGCTATTTATGCCACTATATTCATTTGTTAAAATGCTTTAAATTGCATACATATGAGTACATTTTATGTAAATTATAATCTAATAAGATTGTTTTAGAAAATAGAAGGATAATGAAAAAATAGTTTCAAGATAATTATAATATGCCAATTACATAATGTTTTAAAAATACAAGTAGTACATACTTTTATGGATTCATTTATTATAGTACCTATATAAACTCATAAACAGGAATGTAAGTATTGTCAGAATCATGGTTTCCTCTGATATGGGAGAAAGGCAGGTAGAATGATGGATTTCCATGGAATCGGGGGCATCCACAAGAGTCTCAAACAAATTTGTAAATTTTGTTTTAAAATTTGAAGCATAAATGGCAGCACATATTTGTTAAAATTAAGTAAGGAGCAAAAAATATTTATTATCATTTAAAGTTTTCTTTGCATTTGAAATATTTCATATTTTTAAAAGCATTTTAAATTTTAAACATTAAAACTTTATTAAAATGACATAAAATTTTTGTGGATTATTTTGACAAATCTACCAAAGTGTCCTCTCTTGCTTGAATGAGTGTAATATGGAAAGAAATATTTACATATTTTTGTTACTTATTCCATTCCTAGAGCACTTACAATTGGTGTTTTAAATATTAAAAATAAAACTTGATATGGTCCAAGTGCTTTCTATAGAATTCACTAAGTTCTTATTTGCGTAGTATTTATAACCCGGTGAATTGCTATAGAAGAAATGAATTCACTTGCTGGGCTACCGTACTGGAACACAGTTTCATCAATCTGAGTACACCACATTCATAAAGCTGATGGATGCTAACAGTATTAACACCTACTCCTTGGGCTGTTACATCAGAAGTTTACATATTGTGCTTCAAAGAATATACTTAAAATTTTGATATTAATAATTTGCATTAAAT